GGCACTCCCAGTGGCTGCCGATGGCACTGGGAATAAATCTAAACCCCTTGCTGTGGTGCTCAATCTGGTACTCCCTGCCTGAGCCCAGGCCTCTAACCCCTCTTTCCACTCTTCCCCATGGTGAGTGGAATCAAAAGGAAACAGCATTTTGAAGGAATGTCAGAAAGCTGTCAAATTTATCTCTACCTCCTTTCCTATTTCTGGGATTTGTCCTCCCCTGTGAGGTTGGACCCCAGTGGAAACAGTCAATTAGCTTCCTCAAGTCTGCTCCTGCTACCCTGGCCTTCTCTCTGGTCCTTGACCACCTTCAACTCTTTTCCTCCTGCAGGACCTGTGCACAAGCTGTGACCTCTGCCTGGAATGCCCTTTCTTCACTCTTCCTATGGCTGGCTCCCTCCCACCATTTGGGCCTGAGGTTAAATGTTATGCTCAGAGAGGCCTGTGAATATTCCATCTGGAGAAGGTTCCCCCAGATCATCTACATTTTGCCTTTTTGTTTTATTCCTTCACTGTCCTTATCACACATGCATTTATTTGATTGTTTATTTGCTTTTAGTGTCTTGTCCACTGCTTCTCCCCTAGTGCTTGGGCATAGTTAGCACTCAATGAGGAGACTGTTGTTTGTTGATGTGCACAGTAACAGTAGCTCGCTATGGTCCCGTACTATGCTGTGCACTCTACATGCTTCATTCACAATCATTTTGTGTGGCAGGATGGGCAAGGATTATCCCCATACCTCAGGTAGGAAAAGTGAGGCCCAGAAAGGTTAGGAGACTTGCCTTAGGCCATGTAGTTTCTGAGAAGTGGAACCCAGGTCTCCTGACCCCTGATCAGGTGCTCTTCAAAAGCAGAAGTGAAAGGGCGACGCAGGAGAGGCGTGTGGTAGGTCACTGTTCCTAAATTCTCCATGTCTTTCATTGTTTTTTGCTCTGTCACCCAGGCTGGAGTGCAGTGGCATGATCTCAGCTCACTGCAACCTCAGCCTTCCATGCTCAAGCGATTCTCGTGCCTCAGTCTCTCAAGTAGCTAGGATTACAGGTGGGAGCCACCACGCCCAGCTAATTTTTTTGTAGCTATGGGGGTCTCACTGTTGCCCAGGCTGGTCTCAAACTCCTGGCTCAAGCAATCTGCCTGTATCGGCCTCCCAAAGTGCTGGGATTATACGCGTGAGCTACCACACTTGGCCTACTCTTTTTTCTAATTGGGCAGCTCAGCATCTACATCCTGCCTTCTGAAAGGGACAAGAGAGAAGGGGAGACAGTCTGGGCTCTGGCCAGGGGTGGGTGGGGGAAGCACCACTCTTCTTTCTTGCCAGAGAAACATCATTCCTGGAGGTGGTCTTGGCCCCTTTAAATACCACGGAGATGAGCTGCGGGGCGGTGCTGACAGGGGAACCTGGCTGGGATGCTGGCCAGCTGGCTCAGGCTAACCCTGGGCTTCATTTGCATGAGAATTGGGGCCTACGGCACTGTGTGGATCCAAACCCATCTACCTACACTGTGTGTCTTTGTATGTGTGTGTGGAGTCCTGCACAGTGGGTGAGGGCTGTTCAATTGTGTCCTAAGAGTTGGGCCCTCTCTGAACTATTTTAACTCATGAATTTGTTTACATTTGAGAAGCCAGAAGTCACGCATCCTTTTGTCTTCATTTAAGCATTTTTGGTGAAAAGTTGAAATTTAGATCTTTCTCTCTTTTTTTTTTTTTATTTTTAATTTTTTTTTAGAGGCAGGGTCTGTTCTGTCACCCAGGCTGGGGTGTGGTGGTGCAATGAACTACAGCCTCCACCTGCTGGGCTCAAGTGATCCTCCTGTTTCAGCCTCCCTAGTAGCTGGGACTACAGGCAGACGCCACCATGCCCAGCTAATTTTTAAATTTTTTGTAGCAGCAGAGTCTTGCTTTGTTGCCCAGGCTGGTGTTGAACTCCTGGGCTCAAGCGATCCTCCTGTCTGGGCCTCCCAAAGTGCTGGGATTACAGGCATAAGCGGCCACGCCCAGTTTAGATTTCCCTCAAAAAAGTGCAAAGAGCATTAAGAAACTAGTCCCAATTTTCTGAGTGTACAAAGGGAGCAGAAATGATCATGTCCATTCTGTTTTAGGGACCTGGCAATGGCGTAGCAATCAATCCGATCATGTCCAGATTGACCACTGCATTCAAGGTCTTCACCCCACATCCCACCCTGCCTTTCTGGTTTCCTCTCCAGTTCCAACCCCCAAACCTCTCACCGCTCCCACTTGTGCTCTTTCCTGAGCTTAACCTTCTCCCTGCTCTTCCTCCAAATCTCTTCTTTGAGGACTCTGCTCACTCAGTAAGCCTGTTCCAATATCCTGGCCCTTGTGAGGACCTGGCTGACTCCCCAGACTTGGTCTGTCCACCTTCTGCTTGCTCATGGCAATATGTTCAGATCTCCAACGTGGCTTCTGTTATGGGGCTGGCATACATGTTTACGTGCGAGCCCCTGGAAGCAGATCCGGGTCTTCATATTAATATAACTGCTATAGTGTGGATGTTTATCACCAAACTTCATGTTGAAATTTGATCTTAATGTTGGAGGTGAGGGCCTAATGGGAGGGTCACAGGGGCAGATGCCACATGAATAATCTATATTATTCATGAATCAATAATATATCAATTATTATATAATGATACTATAGAAATTATATATTAATATATCAATAATCATATAATCATTAACAATATATTATATTAATACATTAACTATTATGTATTAATATCACTAATATACTATTTTATTACTAATACATTAACCATACAATATTAATATTAACAATATTAATTATTAAATATTATTAATATAGATTAATAATCACTTGTCAATTTTTTTTTTTTTTGAGATGGAGTCTCACTCTGTCACCTGGTTTGGAGTGCAGTGGCGCAATCTCGGCTCACTGCAAGCTCCACCTCCCGGGTTCATGCCATTCTCCTGCCTCAGCCTTCTGAGCAGCTGGGACCACAGGCGCCGGATACCACGCCCAGCTAATTTTTTGTATATTTTAGTAGAGACGGGGTTTCACCATGGTAGCCAGGATGATCTCGATCTCCTGACCTCGTGATCGGCCTGCCTCGGCCTCCCAAAGTGCTGGGATTACAGGTGTGAGCCACCGCGCCCGACTTGTTAATATTCTTAATATAAATTTATTATTATTAAGATTATAATATAGATTAATTCTTAAGATTATAATATAGATTAATTATTCTTATCTATAGTAATATCCTCCCTGAGTGGGTGGTGAGTTCTTACTTTGTTAGCCTCATGAGAACTAGTTGTTAAAAAGAGCCTGGCAGCCAGCGTGGTAGCTCACGCCTGAAATTTCAGCACTTTGGAAGGCTGAGGTAGGAGGATTGCTGGAGACCTGGAGTTCAAAGCCAGACCGGGAAACATAAAAAGACCCTGTCTTTACCAAAAATAAAAACAAAAAAAATCCACCCGGAGCATAGTGTGCACGTCTGTAGTCCTAGCTACTTGGAGGCTGAAGTGGGAGGATTGCTGATTGTGCCACTGCACTCCAGCCTGGGTGACACAGTGAGACCCTGCCTTTAAAAAAGAAAAGAGCCGGGCCATCTCCTCTTTCCTCTGTCTTGCTTCCCTGCCTCAACATGGGATCCCTGCACAGCTGGCTCTCCCAGAGTGAAAGCAGCCTGAGGCCTTCACCAGATGCCCAACCTTGAACTTTTCCCAACATCAGAATCATCAGTCAAATAAGCCTTTTTTTTTTGGAGACGGAGTCTCACTTTGTCACCCAGGCTGGAGTGCAATGGCGCGATCTCGGCTCACTGCAACCTCTGCCTCCCAGGTTTAAGCCATTCTCTTACCTCAGCCTCCCAAGTAGCTGAGACTACAGGTGTGTGCCACCACGCCTGGCTGATTTTTGTATTTTTCTTAGAGACAGGGTTTCACTATGTTGGCCAGGCTGGTCTCGAATTCCTAACCTCGTGATCCTTCTGCCTTGGCCTCCCAAAGTGCTGGGATTAGAGGCTAGAGTCACCATGCCCGACCAACAAGTCTTTTTTAATTTATAAATTACCCAGCCACAGATATTCCCTTATAGCAACACTAAGTGGACGAAGACAGCCTACCACAGTGCCTGGCATATAACAGGTGCTCAGAAAAGTGCTGGGTAGGCTAGGTACGGCGGCTCATGCTGTAATCCCCGCACTTTGGGAGGCCGAGGTGGGTGGATCACCTGAGGTCAGGAGTTTGAGACCAGCCTGGTCCACATGGCGAAACCCCGTCTCTACTAAAAATACAAAAAATTAGCCAGGTGTGTTGGCGGGCACCTGTAATCCCAGCTACTTGGGAGAGTGAGGCAGGAGACTCGCTTGAACCCAGGAGATGGAGGTTGCAGTCAGCCAAGACCGTGCCATTGCCCAGCCTGGGTGACACAGCAAGACTGTTTAACAACAACAACAAAAAAGTGCTGGGTATTGGACTCAGAATGCTGGGGTAGAGTTAGGTACCAAGCTCTGAAGGCACGGACCTCTGAATCCTCCTCCTGCCTTTTCCTTCCTGGGGCCCTCTCTGAGCCTCAGTGTCCTCATCTGTAAAAAAAAAAAAAAAAAGAGATCAGTGACAGCTCCCACCTCAGGGGCCACGGGGAGTTGTGAAGATGAACTTCACAACTTCACAAGGGTGGATGTACAACACTCGGCACAGCCTATGGCCCCCAACAAGCACCCAGTAAATGACAATGACAACTAATAGGAAACTTGAAGTCTGGTCACCTACCTTCCAGGAAGGAGCCTGGTATCCTTAGAAAGAACCAGCTCCTACAAAGGCTGCCTGCTAGTGGGTGGGCTTGGCGAAGGCAGGGATGAGCCTTCCTTCCCGACAGATCCCCAGCTCCCCACCACTTCAGGGCCCTGTTCACAAACCTCCAGCCCTGCTCCCTCTGACAGGTCCCCGGCTCCCCTCCACCCCCCGGCCCTGTTCATAAATGCTCTCCAGCCCTGCTGCCTCTTCCCTCAGGCCACACACACAGGATCTTACTGATTCTTTATTGAATCACAAACAACTCAGGGCATCAGGCCCCAGCAGCTGCATTAGAACCCACCTGGGATTGTGAGGGGACTGGAGAGGGACGGGGGAGAAGATCCACTCTCCCCAGCTTTTCACTATAGGGACTAAAAACCTCAGAAATCACCCTAAGAGAAAGGATGTACCAAATGCCCACCAGAAGGGCCGGGGAGTGAAAGCCACTCCAAGGGCAGGAGGGTGCGGTGAAGGGTGCTATGGTCCCAACATTTGTGTGTATCCCTCCCTCCCCCTGCAGATTCACGTTGGGATTCTCACCCTCAACGTGAGGGTATTAGGAGGTGGGGCCTTCGGAGCTGATTGGGACACGGGGGCGGAGCCCTCATGAACAGGGTTAGAGTCCTTATAAAGGAGGCAGGAGGGAGCTTGCTTGTTTGTGCTTCTACCATTGAGGATACAGCAAGAAGGCACCATCTATGGAATGGGAAACAGACCTCAGCGGAGTCTGAATCTGCTGGCCCCTTGATCTTGGACGTCCCAGCCCCCAGGACTGTGAGCAGTAAGTTTCTGTTGTTTGTAAGCCACCCGGCCTACAGCATCTTGATATAGGAGCTCGCTGGACTAAGAGTCGGGCCAAGTAGGCCCTGTCAGCCGCAACCTCAGGGGAGAATGTAAAGGCTGGTGTCTTACCATCACAAGGCAAGAGGCTCAGAACAAGCTGTAACACCTCCCTTGCAGAGATCTAGGGGCGCCAGACACAGCTGGGGTGGAAAGCTGTTAGTCTGGACCCTTGCTCCATCAGTCCCACCTGGGGAGGAAGGCTGTGGGGGAGGCAGAACTGGGAGAAGAGAGAAGCAGCTCCCTGGCTCTGATTTCAGAAGGCTGTTACCTGAGCCAGGTGCTGGGAGACCAGAGGGGCAGGTGCCACTTAGGGCCAGAGGAGCCACGCAGGACAATGTGGTGTTAGGGACTGGGGGAGGATGTTAATGACCCTGCTTAACCTCTAAGAGAAGCATGGTTCCCTCGTGTTCAAAAACTGGACGTACAGGGTGCAGGTGGTGGGCACTTTCTCACAATCCACCCCATTCCCGGGCCACTGCCCAGCAGCCCCTGGGGATCTGCTGGTCTCAGAGGGAACTCGATCATTTCCTCCCTGGGTCCAGCCCACACGTTCCTCCGAAGGAAGGCTGGTTTGTGGGCCCAGGGTGAGGCTGCCTGCCCACCGCAGATGGAATGTTTCCCAACCCTCTCCAGGTGTCTGTGGTGGGGCCATCTCCCCTGAGTACAGTGAGCCTTCGTGGCTTTGCCATTGCTGTCCCTTCAAGGTTGTTGCTTGTCCCTGTCCTCAGAGTGATGTGGAGGCAGACAGGCCCTGGAGGCGGAAGGAAGGGGTTCAACTCTCACTAGGGTACTCCCTCGGGAAGGACAAAAACTCAGAAATACGAGAGGGTAGAGACAGATTTGGCAACTTTCTGGTATTACTTATAAACACTGGTTCCTTCAACTTTCTGATACTACTTGTAAACACTGGTTCCTTCTCAACCACCGTATTTTGATTGGGTCTGTAAGTAGCGCCCAGTCCACACCACAGCACCCTTCTGGGGTCCAGGAGACCGCCTTCACTGCTGTACGGGCCCCGGGGCCAGGCCATCCAGGGTGCCTGTGGCGCTCACACCCCCATGGCACTCTTCTCGCCCTCTTTGGGGCTAGGCTCCTCCGGAATCTTCTTCATCTCCCAGCCTCTGACCCAGGTGTAGGCAGAGGAGCCGCCCAGCACCATCATGTTGCTCGTCCACCAGAGGAAGCTCTTGGCCTCCTCGTAGTAGAGCACGGCCAGCACCGTCTGGGCACAGGCCTTGGCCGTGCCCGACACATTGTGGGTCAGGGGACTGGTGAACTTGATCTGCAGACCTGTCACATAGCCGATGGCGAAGCCAAACAGGCCGCCCAGCGTCATCATCCCCCAGAAGTGGGCACTGCCCAGCTGGGCAAAGTCACGCAGGGCCTGAAGCTCCCCGAGCAGCACGAGCAGGGGCAGGAAGAGGACGCAGGCGTTGACGTTGTTGTAGAAGGTCAGGCGCCAGATGCTGCCGTCCACCGCCGGGAGCACCTTCTTGGTGTAGATGGCGTTGAGCGAGACACAGAGGCTGGCCAGCACGCCAAAGACAGTGCCCAGCCACGACAGGGTGCCTTCTGCCTCCTCCTGGTCCACACCAAGCCAGAAGCCCCCTGCAGTGGGGAGAGGAGGAGTGGGGGAAGGGTGGGGAAGAGGGATGAGGATGAGGAGGAAGAAGGACAGAGGATCAGACACCAAAGTTCACAGACTGAGTACTGCGGCCCTCCCCACTCCTCCCTAGGGCTCCCTCCAATAAGCACAGCCAGAGTCTCTACTGCAGGCAAGGCACTCTACATGGACTATGGGAGCGGCCCAGGGCAAGAAAACCTCCTCTGGCAGCTTATCTGCTAGCAGAGGAGAAAGACAGGAAAACAAATCGCTTCCCAGTTACTTCTTTAATTACAATTGTAAGAATTGTAATGAGGTCCATAAAGCAGTACAAGGTGCTGTGAGAGTCCGTAAGTGGGCGACTGAGCTGGCCTGCGGCATCTGAAAATAACATTTGAACTGAGTTCTGAAAGATGAGTGCCACTTAGTGGTTAATGCGATTTAAGGTGACCCTGGGTAAATGACTTTCAGTGTCTAAGTCTTGGCTGCTTCTTGCATGGAATGGGAGCCTATGATGTCATCATGGGGAGCATTAAGTTAGAATCTCTTGTGTCATTTGTGGCAGTGACTCTGAGACTCTCATCTTGTGTCACCTCCTGTTCAAAGAGCTTCCATGGCTCCCCACTTCTGCCATCGGGACTATACTCCTTGGCATGGCAGGTGGGGGTCCCTGAACCTTTGCCAGCCCTTCCTCTGTCCTGTGGTTGCCCTGGCCTCTCTGCTCGTCTCCCTGCTTCTCACCCTGGGCCTCAGTGTCCTTGTTCATGTCCTGTGCCAGAAACACCCTCCTCCTTTCTCAGGGATTCTATGCATCTGTCAAGGTCAAAGTTGGCCTCTCTGGGGGAATCTTTTCCTGATAGCCCCAGAACCTGGACTCTTACTGCCTCGCTTTCCTTCAAAGCCCCTTGCCTGCTCTGGGCTGCTGGGCCCCTGCCCATGGTGACAGCCTGGTCTTTTCAGCCAGATCCCATGCTCCTAGAAGGCAGGGGCTGAACGATGCACGTTATACTTCCTGCCACAGCCTCTGGCAACATGGGGCTGTGGGGAAAGCTTTGGGGACAGATTTAGCTTCCAATCAGGCTCTCTGCAACTTAGAAGCTGAGTGGCCTGGGAGAAGTTACTTAACCTGTCTGAGCTCTCTGGGTCACCTCCCTGTCCACTCCAGTCAATCTACTCTCCACCCTGCAACCGGAATGATCATCCTGAAGTCTAGATCAGCCCAGGCCGTGCCCTGGCGTGAAGCCCCTCTGTGGCTCTCCGCTGCCTTCAGGAGAAATTCGACTCACTCACCACAGCTCTCAGGACCTGCACCACGTGGAGTCAGCCTGACTGGGCAGCCTCGTGTCTGGTGAGTCTCGCTGTGGTCCAGCCATGAAGAAGTGCACATGCTCTTCCTTCTGTCTAGAAAGTTCTGTTCCTACTTCTTCCTCTAAATCCAGTTTCTAAACTTCCTCCAGAAGGCCTGCTTAGACTGCCCTGTCCCTGGGTCCCCTCCCTCGCCCAGAGCTCCCACAGCCCCTTTTATGCATGCCCCATCACAGCCCTTACCATGCTAGTGTAACTGTCACCACCATGCCCTCCAGGAGTGTAGGAGCTGAGGTTACCTTTTCCAAACTTGTATCCCCAAAGCCTGGCACGGTGCCTGGCATGTGTTTAGCCACCAATTACTAGTTGTGGAATGAATGAATGAAAGTTGTTATGGAGGTGGTTGTATTAAAGGAGACAGGATATCTCCTACATCATAGGCACTCAACACGCAGCACTTTTCTCTTTTTCTCTTTATTTTTTGAGACAGAGTCTCGCTCTGTTACCCAGGCTAGAGTACAGTGGTATGATCTTGGCTCACTGCAACCTCTGCCTCCTGGGTTCAAGTGATTCTCATGCCTCAGCCTCTTGAGTAGATGGGATTACAGGGATGTGCCACCATGCCTGGCTAATTTTTGTATTTTTAGTAGAGAGGGGGTTTCACCATGTTGGCCAGGCTGGTCTTGAACTCCTGACCTCAGATGATCCACCCGCCTCGGCCTCCCCAAGTGCTGGGATTACAGGCATGAGCCACCATGCCCAGCCCAACCACAGAGCCTGACCCTCCTCTTTCTTGACATAACCTTTGCACAAGAGGTACCCATAGACCCACTGGGAGCAGGGTGAGGGGGGCAGAGAACTGCACCACCTACTCACCTGCTTGGCTAGAGCACCCACAGCCCTCCTGGTGGTTACCTTCTGAGTCCAGAAGCAACTGCAACCTCAATGTTCTAGAGTGACTCTCACCCAGAAAGAACTTTTTTTTTTTTTT